CAAGAATGGGAGAAGAATAGCTGCTCCCACCCATCAGCTGGCTTTGTTACGGCACCAAAACGCAGCCCGTTACCCAAAAACCTTGCAATTTTCAGCTGCTTCTATTATTTCATATAAGTGCCCCCCCCTTTTCCCCCTTCAAACTGCATTAAAAAGGCACTCTTTAAAATACTGCTGTAGGGATATTGACTCTAATGTGAAGTTAGAGATGATGGAAGGAGGGGAATTCTCAGCAGCGAAACAGAAAGAGACATCAACCACCAACTCTCAGTTATTAGTCCCTTGAATAATTCTGACAACGCTCCCCACCCTTCTACCCGAAACCAGGCAGAACACTCAGTTTTCTGACTTTCTGGCAAGAGGGTGGTGTGTGTGTGTGTGTGTGTTAGAGAGGGATGGGGGGTATGATGGCAGTCGAGTCCCTTCATGGCTCTCCCAGCAGCCCATCCCCATGGCCAACGAGGTGGGACCTCGGATGGGGGGATGATGGCAGTCGAGTCCCATCGCAGGTCTCCAAGCACCCCATCCCCATGGCCAACGAGGTGGGACCTCTTGTTTTGCAGGTTCTCCAAGCACGGGCTGGGGACAAATCTACAACAGCATCTGAAGTATCGGTTTTAAACTGAAAGAGGGGAGATTTCTTGTTTTGCAGGTTCTCCAAGCACGGGCTGGGGACAAATCTGCAACAGCATCTGAAGTACCGGTTTTAAACGGAAAGAGGGGAGATTTAGTGAGATCTCAGGGAGAACTTCTTTGCTATGAGGGTGGTGAGACACTTGAACAGGTTGCCCAGAGAAGCTGTGGCTGCCCCATCCCTGGAGGGGTTCAAGGGCAGGTTGGAGGGGGCTTGGAGCAACCTGGTCTGGTGGGAGGTGTCCCTGCCCAGGGCAGGGGTTGGAACTCCATGATCTTTAAGGTTCATTACAACCTAAACCATCCTGTGATTCTATCATCTCCCCTCTCCTCTCCCACCAGCAAGGCAGCTCTTGCTGCAGCCACCGGAGCGTGCGGCGCTCAGGGCCAACCTCCCACCACACACGTCTCCTCCCCGGCGCTTCAGACATGCAAGACAAGCCATGTACAAGTCCTCCATCAGCCACCCAGGCGTCACACGTGCCAGCCAACCTTGGCAGAGGGAGGACTGATCCAAAACCCTCCTCCTCCAAGCTCAACCTGCAAGGATGATGCAGTTCTTGCCACCCTCTGGACCACAACCAAGCGAGTGAGAAACTCCGCTTTGATCTCAGTATCAATATCTCCTCATTTTTCAGCTGACCCGGGAGCCGCTTCCCCTTTTCATTTTTAGAACAGCATCATTTTGTATCCGGGGGTCAGGGTAAGAAAGACCCCTATCTCGCAAAACACCCTTTTTTTCCAAACAGTGCAGAAACTTCAAAAGAAAGTCAGGACAATTAAATACACGTCGGGAGAGCGCAGAGGAGTGGGAGGCTAATAAATGGCACGCTCCACAGGTTTATGAATATTTGAACTATATTTCTTAAAAAAAAAAAAAACACCACCATAGCACATTACTACAAGTTATTGAAAATGACTTACTCCCTTTAATGAACCTTGCTACCATCATGCTGACTAATAGAGTGATAGTTTAATCCATATTTATGTACATTTTATCTCATTATAGTTGGTGCCAATAAATTAGCAACTCCAATAGGGGTTGCATTTTATACCATCACTGCTATTAAATGTGCATGAAGTATCGCACAACAGCACACCATCCATGAGCACTAGCCTTTTATTTTATTTATTTTTATGTTCCAGAGCCAGGCTGCACTGCACAGAACCCCTGCAGAGGACCCCAGTGCTCTCTCCTGCATGATCAGACCCTAATTAGGGACGAGATGATATTAACGGGGGGTTTCTTCCCAGGAACACTGCTTCTGCCTCCTGCAGCGGGGAGAGAGTCACGGGGAAACACTTCTGCAAAGTGCACTCGAGATTACAGACAGTTTTTGAGTCATTTTTAAGGGGTAAGATTTAAACAAAACAAACAAAAAAAAAATTGAGAGCCAAATTGTAGAAAATAATATATTATTTTAAGGTGTCTTAAAGAGGCACATCTAGAAATGCAGCTCAGCATCTCAGGTCACTTTTTGAAACCTCTATCACGATACACAGCGTGTCCCTTGTCACTGCGGGGTTGCTCAACAATCGGACATTGGGAAAAAAGAAAAAAAACTGGCCGTGAGCAATTTCAACTGGCCTTTAGACTCCCCTGGGTAACGGGGAAACACAGCAACCAAGATTACAAGAAACATGACGCATCTATTTGGCGAAGGCCGGCACTTGCCAATTACCCGACATCCCACCGAGGCGGAGATGGAGCTTTTCAGCTCCACAGGGATTTCGGCTGGAGAAGCCCACATGGTTCACGATCTCATTTCACCAGCTGTTATCCCGGTGGTAGTAAGGAAGCAGTGATTTCCTAAGCTTAAAACTCAAGGAAGTGGCAAAACCAGGGATAAAAACCCCACATTCCTGGACCCTGACCACACTTGCTCCTTTGGAGGAGGCTCCATCGATCCTACGGCAGCTCCTCCTTGCTGAAGCCCTGTCTCGGAAGCCAAAGGGAGCTATGGAAAACTCTCTTGGAATAACAGCTGGTCACAGCAAGACTGAGGGATTTGAATTTTCTTCCTCTTCTAAAGCACTAGTGTTTTTCTGACACTCAGAAACCCTGAGGACCCTGCAGATTCCAAAGGACAAGTCCTTTACGTCGAAGTCGGCACCGCATAAACACAAGCCCCAGCTTTTCTCCTTGGTAATTACACTGCAGAAAACCCAAAGGCTATTACTAATTGCTGTTTCACCGGCCTTCTGGTTTGGAGGAGAGAAATAACTACTCAAGCAGCATCCAGAAAGGAAACACCCAACACCACTCCACCAAGGCTTCTACGTAATTACATGGTTGACTGTTGCTGTGCTCTGTTCAGAAAAGTCTCCGACACAGCCCAAGTGTCTTGTAACCAAAAAAACGCTATTGATCTAAGTCCTGAATAGCTCCAGGAAGAATTTTTTGTGTGTGAAGTCGGTGTTTGGCCAGTGGGAACGTGGATGAGAGACTCCTTTTGCTCTCACTGTGACTCAAAGGGGAACGGGGCTTTGGTCAGCTGCAGATTTTTCCCTGTTTATTTGCTTTGCCACTGTTGAACACAGATCTGAGGACAATGTGGGAATGAACGGTGGCAAAGACAATGGGAATGTTTTGACAGGCTTCCAGAGGGATTTAGGGTGGTGCAGACCTCAACAGCTGATAGCCCCACCAAAACTGATAAAAACCTACACTGGAAAAGGATCAGGGAGGTTTTTGTGTCGAGAATCTGTGCCTCACACATGTTGTGAGGCTGTTTGAGGATGACGACGCACATGAAAATCAGCAAGATCTGGGTAAAAAAAAAAAAAAAGTACATGTGGATTTCTCAGAAGTTTATGACAAGTTTCTTTTCCAAAGTCTCCTAAAAAGCTAAATTGTCATGGGGGCAAAAGGAATGGCAAGTCATCCCCCCTTCCCAAGTCACAAACCTGAACGTCCCCCCCTATAAAAGTGAACAGGAGGGGGAGGGAGTAACTGTTCCCCAACCAGACCAAAAAGGAAACCAAACTGTGTTCAGCTGACATGTCCCAGCAGCGTTTAATGCCAGGCTCTATTAACAGGCGTCTGAGGCAATTTGAAACAGCACAAAGCAAGAGACAATGTGACGATAAAGCAGCATTTTAATTAGCAGCGGTTCTTTCCCCAGCCCAAAAGGTTCCTTCTGTGCATTCATATTCCCAGAACAACAAAAGCTGCCTTATATTTCATAAATCAAAAAAAAAAAACCCTCATAAAACAAGCCCCTGCAATTGCACATTCCAGATAATGGTCCAGAAATAAATTAGGCAATAAATATCAAATAATATATCCCCATCAGCAGTGAAAATCTACTCTTTGGATAATCAGAAGAGAAGATGCCTTCCAGCAGCTTATGCCTGGTAGCTCGAAATCGGTAAAACAATAGAGAGCTTTAATAAATCTTTTAACACCTTCTTCCACTGAAGAATATAGCAATTGTCCTGCCTAATGGCTTCCCCCAGCCCCGGTATCCATCAGAGTAACAGCACAGCCCTGATGCTGTTCACGTCAAAAGCGAGGGTATCAGAACAACAGCCTCTTGTCAAAATCATGTAGGATTTTCCTCCCTCGCAGCCGGGTCTCGCCCAGCATCGGGTGCCACCCATCAATTACAGCAGAAGACAAAAACCCCACTCTCTGCTCTCCCATCTAGGTGACACACCGCACACACACAGCCAGCACCCAGGAACTGCTGGCAGGAAAAAAGAAAAAACCTCCAAAACCAGCTTCCAGAGACACTCAGGGGATGGATTTCACCCTGGCAGGAGACTTCTCGACCCCTTTGGAAACTCAGTGGCCACATTACAAAACCGATGGCCACGCTGGTACAAACCCGGGTCCAGGCTTGGAACGGTGTGTGCTGCTGCCAGAGGAACACGTGCTGCTGGGTCCAGTCCCCCAGGAGGGTTCATGCAGAGCAGGGGTGATGCTCAGCACCAGTTTGAAGGTGCTGGGCTCACGGGGGGGTCACTGGCAAGGAGATGGTGCAGCTTTGTCCCCATCACCCAGCCAGGACCCAGAGTCCTGACCCCAGCACTGCAGCCTCTTCCAACTGCTCTTGTGAACACGTAAGATAAAATATTGTGATCGCCCCCCAAAAAAGACATTTTTCATCTCCTTTAGAGACTGATTCCAGAGGGTTTGTAACTTAAGCAGAAAGCTCGATCACCTTTCACACCCTAGATATTCAGTCTACCACCAGCACAGGGGAACGTGTGCCCCACGCAGGGGTTATGGGTACAGAAGCTGCTCAGAAAAACAGAAATCTTTTCGTGTTTTCAGCCAAAACCTGCAGCACAACTCCAGAGAACTGCCCAGTGCCAGCAGTACCACAGCCCTCACTTCCCAACAGCTCAGGAGTAACTCTTACCTTTCCAAAATCCCGTACGTCAAAGAGGTCGAAGGGATCAAAGAGATCGCTGTTCCTTAACCCAAATTTGTCGTGACACACTTTTAGGAAGGTTCGGATGTTCTTCAGACAGAGAAACTGGAGGAAACAAAAAAAAAGAAAGGGAGGGGAAAAGTGAGCAAGACGGGCACAAATTTTAACTGAGATTTACTGAGTTAAATTCACACGTGAGACAAGTTAACAGGGACTTCCAAACTTGCACTGAAAAGCCCAGCGCTGGTTTATTTGTTGTTACTGAAGATGTCAGGCTCCTGGTGCCCTGCAAGGGCTCCTGTGTTCCCAGCTGCACACCAGAAACAAACGCCCTTTTGAAAAAACAAGGTAACATCGCAGAAGGGCTGGAAAACTCAAGCCAGGACGTTTCCCCTTCAAGGTCGAAGCCAAATATAAATTACAGCTGATGTTCTACAGAAGCCCAGTGTTGAACTTTTAACCATTTCCAGCAGGGTCCCGTTTGGTTGCCTACAGAAGGGACACAGGTTACATCACTTATTGTATGTATGGCTGTATAACCACACACACAGCCCAGACAAAAGAAACAGTGAAAATTAGGTAGGTTTGTTTGTCTCTTTTTTTTCCTTTTGGGGTCTAGAGCAATTTACAACTTATCCGAGTAATATTTGCTCCCTCATCCTCGCACCTCCCAGGCACCATGAACACTTAAGAGACCCATGAAACATCAACCAGCCATGTCCAGCCGTGGACCCTAAGCCTCAGCCAAGGGGCTGCTCCTGAGCCAGCTCAGGTCCCCTTCCCAGGGCAATCCCTGGGGTTGCTCTCACACAGCTCTGCTCATCTTTTAGCTCAGCCCAGTCAGAAGAGGCAGAAATCTCACCTCCCTAGGGACCACCCCCAGTTGCTCTGCTCAACTGGCAGAGCGACATGATGTTCCTCTTTCAAGAAAATCCTGTCTTTGACTGTAGCAATAATTGGTCATTTGCTTGCCAGCGTCGGAGATTTTGAAGCCTGGGGATTCAGACGGTCTCGCTCCAACGATGACGCCTGGCAGCAGAGGGGCTGAGATTGCGGAGAATAAAAATCTGCTTCGATTTTGTGGTTGCATCACCTACATCCTTCATGGGGATGGACTGACCCTGCTGAGCCAGCCAATTCAGCTCACCTCTTTCTGCATCCTCACTCTATTCCACAAAATACCTTCCATTTATTGCTGTATTTTTAAACAACTCTTTTTTAAAATTATTTTTTCCCAGCAAATTCCTCCCAAATACATAACAAACATGTCAGAATTCTAAGCTAATCAAGCCATTAAAGGGGTGAATCACCCCCATGTGATGAAGAGGCGCAGGATGCCAGCTGCCCTTGGGTGGGTTTGGTCAGCATGGTTTTATCCCGTGGTGTTCTCTCAGCTCCCAAAGTTGCCATCAAACCAACACCACACAGGAACACGGCTTGCAAACTTCACCGAGAGTTCAAAGCAAAATGAAATAGCTTCATTTTCTTTTAATTAAAAGAATCAAAGCAGTGTCTTTGGGGCCGTCGCATCTCTATAGACACGACCGTGATGCAGCTGGTGGGTATCATCGCACTTGGGATTATATGTGAGGTTTGTGGTGATGGGTGAGCGAGACCCACCTCGCTAACAACAGGCTATTCCACCTACACACCAAAAAAAACTAAAAAAAGAAATAACCTTTTATGCTTCTCCCCCATTCCAGCCCCCTCCACACGGAGCCGGAGGGCGAGAGCAGAGCTCCCCGGCACAGGACATTCCCATCACATCAGAGCCTTCTCATTAGACAAGCAAGTGCCAGAGGCAGAAATTGAAAACAATTCTGTTTTTCTAGGGCATTCCTCTATCTCACATAAACACTGCAGTAAATATAATCTGTCTAGACTGAGAGGTTCTTTTGGAATTGCTTTACAACCTCTCTCGCTGATACGGGCTATTTCATAACTTTATCTTCTGGGTCTCTGAAAGAATTTACACCCTGGGCAAAGCAGCTGCTGGCAGCGGGGCTGTATTTGCTGCTGCGCCACAGTCCCACTGATTTCAGATTTCTAGCACGTTGTTAATTTTAAATCCTTTTAAGCCTCCAGTTTTGAAAGTTAATGACACAGGTTACAGCCGTAATGGCACACAGCAAGAGGCAAAACCTTTCTCTGCACAACTTGTCCCGAGGCTGGGGGAGCAACAAAGGCTGAGGTGCCCAGGGAATCACAGAATGGTTTAGGTTGGAAAGGACCTTAAAGATCATCTTAAGAAGATGGAAGATCCCCATCTTCTCTTGACGCTCAGCCGAGCGAAAGACACCCGATGGGTGTGAAAACCCAAAACCCTCAGCACGATGCCCTTGTGATTCCGATTCCTGAAAAGCTCAAAGTTCAGAGTACCCTGTTTCTGAAGGATGGCAGAGGGATCACACATCCAAGCAAAGGAATGCCTCGTCCCAACAGCGAGCCCCAGCCCCACCATGGGTTTGGATCAGGCTGAGCTTCCCCATCTCAGCTTGGCCTTGGGGAGAAAGGCCAGGACCAGCCACGCTGCTCAGCATCAGCTGCATCCAACTGTCTTTGCTCATCCAAGTCAAATCTGGAAGCCATCAGGCCACCAGCTGCTAAATGAGCACAAGGCACCCACGGCAATGCCACTACCCTTCCCGCAGCTCCAGGTGACATCTGCGACGAGCCACCAGGCACTGCCACCACGTGCTGAGCACGGGAAGATGACAAGCATCAAGGAAGAATCCAATAATCTATTTAAAGAGCTGCTGAAAAGGCCTGATGTAAAACAACATAATCCAAGGCAGCAGCACCGTGGTCCCACTCCAGCAGCGAGGAGCTGGCAGCAGAGCGAGGCCACCACTTTGCCCACAACCAAAGCCACTGCTTGGGATGACAACCGTAGGTGGGTTTTAGCCCTGTTCCTCACACACAAGTAGTGTACAACCCACGTGTGGCTGTCGGTGGCACGATTTTCCCCTGCACTATTTCTCTCTCTCACCAACCAGCAAAATACCTCCACGCGTTTTTGCTCCCAGGCGTTTCGAGGTGGGTTTGCTGTTGATGGAAGGTCAGGAATTGTTGGCTTGATGGTGCTACTGAATGGCCACACGTTCAAATTAGCTACAATTGAATATGAGCTGTGCCGAGGCCGTTTTATTTACCAGTCAATCACACCTTTGGACGAGCGAACGCTCCGCAGAAGAAAGAGCGAGCGAGAAATCAATGTTCTCCATGGGGCTCATTCACCACCTGCCAGGCCCAAAATCAATGCTGTCATTTATATGCTTCAAAGCAAGACCAGCGCAGGGTCCTATGATCTCCTTCGGTGCAAGAGCCAGCGGGAGCCCCAGCACCTCACACCCCGACTCCTGCCATCACCCTCCTCTGCCCCCAAAACACCCTCGGTACCCACCAACCATTGCTTTGGGGCTGGGAGAAGATACCACCAGCACCCAGGATGCTCAGATCTGGAAAGAGACCCCAGAGACCAGACCATCTTCCATGGAGACCAGCATCTCCCACCATAACCAGGGTCCAGGCTCTGAAAACAGAGATGCCATGAATCCCCAGCATGGGGAAAGCTCCATCCAAGAGAGAGGAGAACTTCAGAGAGGGAACTTATTAAAGCCAGAGTGAAGAGGCAGTAGGGGCAGGGGTGAGACTCTACTACATGGAGCAAGAAACTCATCCAGTAAAACAAAATACCTTGAAACCTGCCAAAAGAGGAGAAAAGTCTGCGGTCAGCTCTGACGTGACCCTCTCAGGGTTGCAAGGAGACAGCACAACAGCAAGGCAGCGGTGACAGCCCAGCAGAAGGGCCCCACCACCTGCACTTGCCGAGTTTCGGAACAGCTTTGCTTATTTTTAAACACTCTGCGACGCCATAAGGGGAATAAACCGCTCTCGGACCCTGCCCATCCTGCCCCAGCCCAGCAGAAACCTGCTCCGCCTGCGCCCTGGCAGGACCACAGCCACCATGGTGCAGGCTGGAAACTTCTCAGTAGCTTCTGGGATGTTCTTTTTTAAAGAGGGTTTTCACTGTATTATGTGTTTTATTGAATTCACTACGTTTAGAGACTCCTTGGATGATCACTCTTGCGCAGAAAGGGAACCGCCGCCAAGTTTTCAAGGCAACTCAGAAACTTGTCCTGCAAACAGAAACGCACTCGGAGAAACTTTCAGTGGAAATGGAGAAAGGGACAATTTGGTACCTGGGAAAACCCCAGATATGTGGGATAACTCTGCGCAGGGGTGACCCAACAGCTTTGCAGAGGGACACTGAGAGCTCAGCGGGGACATGCCCGGCCACCCCAGAGCTCTGCTCCTGTAGCTCTGGGGCTGTGGAAACCCTCGGATGTTTCTGCAGCTGGAAATGTGGAGAGGAGCCCGCGGGAGGGTGCAGAGCAGCTCAGCACATCCTCACACCCCATTTCAGTTGTCACCGCCCCTCCCTGCGGTCCCCAAATGACTGGGCACCCGCGGCACCTGCGCCGACGAGACAGAGGCATTTCTGATGCAAATTCACCAGAGAAGATCCAGCTACTGGAGCACATTGGGGTTAGGCTGGAAACCATCCCCCCACCTCGGCAGAGATGATGGAAAGCTGGAAATCCTCCCAGTAGAGAGCTGTGCTCCAGGGAGATGGCAAAGGGACAGACAAAAAGCTGGCGAGTGCAGCAGCCTTTGGGCAACAGCCAGACTGCCCGAGGTGGGATCTGGAGGATGTTCATGTGGGCATGGGAAGAGCCCCCAGTATTTGGGACAGCACAAGGGAGGGAGGTGCGAGGCTTGGGAGTCATAGAATCATGGAATTGTCTAGGTTGGAAGGTCCCTTTCAGATCGAGTCCAACCATGGACCTAACACTGACAAAACCCATCACAAGCACCACGTCTACCCATCTTTTAAATACCTCCCGGCACGATGATTCCACCCCTTCCCTGGGCAGCCTGTTCCAATGCCTGGTAACCCTTTCAGTGTAAAAATTTTTCCTAATATCTACCCTAAACCTCCCCGGTGAAACTTGAGGAGTCTGCAAGAGACATTTAATAAATGCAACAAAACTTAGGGAATAGAAGGAAAGGGGGCAGGGGGTTTGTCTGGCAGGGCAGGATCA